CTAAGATTGAACCTATCCTCTCATGGCTCAATCTCAAGGACTTAGATCACGATCCTTTGCAAACGGATTGAAACGAGGAAACAAGGCACTCCCGACACGACCCGAACAGAAGGGAATACCTCATGACTCCCTTTACTAAATCAAGGTCTGAAACCTAATCTGGAAACTAGACACCAAGAGCTTCGCAACGGTGTATAGAACGTCTCCTAACTTCAAAGAGATCGACGGGAAAATAGCCCGCAATCTCGCTAATCGAAACTGGAAAAACAGAGATTTCAGAAACAACACCATGAAATCAAACGAACACAGAGAACGGAGATTACCTCCAAATCAGGATCCGAAACCTAATACAAAAACTATACAGAGAGAGATTTCCAACGGCATAAGGATCGTCTTCTGATTCTCTCTGGTTCGACGGAAATCCTCCCTCGAAGTGGACTGATCGCAGACTCGAGACTGCAGAAACCTCACACAATCCAACGGCCATAACTCAGCGAATACTCATCCAAAAGGCACGCGGTTTTCACCCACATCAAGAGAAAATATAGGAGAACTTACCCTCAAAGTTTCACTCTGATCCGATCTAATCTTCCCCGCCAATCATCTCCTCCAAAAACCCGAGCAGAACTGTTTCTCTCTCAAGAAAAACACTTCTCTCACAAAACTCTCTAAAACTCTTTTTCTGATCAAATTCTCGGCCAACTCCAAGAGAAAACGCTTTTCTCTGCTTAAATACGGAACCCTAGGTTCCCTAAACCAACCCAAACCAAACCCGATCAGAAATCAAAACCACACGGTCCAATTTAAGCATGTGTCGCTTGACACAAACCTCTTGTGTCGCGCGACACAGCTCCAGCAAACAGATTCCTTTGCGAATTAAACACATGTGTCAATCGACACACAACCAAAAATCACATTTTTGGTTCACGGGCGTTACAGCTTTTATCATTTGTCACCAATCAAATCATTGTTTTGTACCGCATATTGTTTTCTTCACCAATCAAACATTGTTTCGTCTCATTTTTTCTCACAAACTGCACTTGTTCCGCAAATACATTTTTTTTCCTATGATCTGCAGTTGTATTGTACCGCACTGCACAATTTTTTTATCCACACCGCACAATTTAGTGTTACCATTCGAAGCCTTAAACTACTTTCACTTAGATTCTAATCATTTGACAAATTTTTTAACGCTTCCAGTTCTTCAATTTATGCGCTTCCAAACCCGAACCGCACAATTCTCCGGTACGTCCAAATCCTTTTTTTTAGAATCGCGATTCGGAGCTTTGGTCACGCTTCCGTGCAACATAGGTCCAATGTGACCCAAAAAAAAAGAACCGGTCCAATGGCATAGCGCCACGTGGCCTCTGATGAAGCGTATCAAGAGTTTCTCGGAAGAGAGACGATTCATCAAAAAAATCACCCAAA